GTTCGCGAATACTGCTAATGGACGGTTTATACATCAGTGTACAACTATGATCAGTTATCTTAACATCTCGCAAGTGCCATCTTGAGCACACTTGATGGTGATACTACTCTTCGTACAAGGGGTCATCCTACAGCCGATGCTACATGGATTGCCCAAATTATGAAACGAAAATTGAGAACGCAGCCAGCTTACACACCATGTGGTATGTTAGAAGATATCCGAGACGATTATGGTCTGGAGCTTCAGTACTACACAGCATGGAGGGGTAAAGAAAAAGCAATGCGTGATATCCATGGTGATGAGACGACATGTTATGATAAACTGAGACGCTATTGTCGTGCATTAAAAATGCATAACCCTGGTAGCATGGCAGAGTATGAGAAATCCGAAATTATGAAACGAAAATTGAGAACGCAGCCAGCTTACACACCATGTGGTATGTTAGAAGATATCCGAGACGATTATGGTCTGGAGCTTCAGTACTACACAGCATGGAGGGGTAAAGAAAAAGCAATGCGTGATATCCATGGTGATGAGACGACATGTTATGATAAACTGAGACGCTATTGTCGTGCATTAAAAATGCATAACCCTGGTACCCTGATATCCATGCAAAATTTTCGACTTTCTTGAACAATTTCACCGAAAATTCACCAACTACACACATATTGTTGCTTATCTCGGTTGTTTGTTGCTGATTTGTGCAAGGAGGGTTCAAGAAAGTGGGGAAACGAGGACGTGACGGGGAGGGCACCTCACAAGGCGAATGCACTTCAAAGAGCAAAGGGAAGGGCAAGAAAACCGATAAAAATCCAACAACCCGACGATGGTCCCGACGCTTAAAAACAGGTGTTTTCTATCCTTAAACTCCGGGCGAATCACATTGAGGGCAATGTGAATTTTAAGTTTGGGGGTGGTTAACTACTTGTTTTATTTTATGTGCGCCTTATTTGTGTTTTTTTTATTTTATTTTATTTTGCATGCTTTAGTTTTTGTTTTAGTTGCCGTTTTATTATTTTCGTTTTTATTATGAAAAAACAAAAAAATAAAAAAAAAATAAAAAAAAAAAAAAAAAGAAAAAAAAAAAATTTGTTCGATGCATCGATGAATTACGATGATGGTAGATGGTCAATGTTTGATGATGAAACTACTTGTTTTATGTTGATAAGGAGTATGTATTTGTCTAGCTTTCGATTCAACGGAACGTAGAAGTGAATTATTGCTAGGAATCACACCTTGTGCTTTGCTTTGGTTGAATGTTTTGCATTTTAAATTTGGAATTTATTTGTGCTCAATCATGCTTTGTTCGGTTTTAAATCTCACCTTAGGACATTTATGAAACGAAGTGTTGGGTAATGAGTGATTTGGGATATGATTTGGGCCTTCTTTGAACCGTTTGAGCCTTTCAAGCCTACCTTTAAATTTTTATCCTTAGAACCTTGATTTGAGCCTCGGAGAAAAAAGGTGTTCTTTCTTTTAGCTAATATGTAGAAGGTGGAAAAGTGGAGATTTTTGAATAATTATCCCTTGGAGTTCGGTCGAAATGTTTTATTAGATCTTTCTTCTTCTTCTAAAAAAAAAAAAAAATTAAAAAAAAAAAATAAAAAAAAAAAAAAAAAAAAAAAAAAAATAAAAAAAATTAAAAAAAAAAAAAAAAGAGAAAAAGAAAAAAGATGGATATATATGTGCATCTTCATATATATATATATATATCTAAATCCTTCGATTCGAAAAAAAAAAAAAAAAAAAAAAAAAAAAAAAAAAAAAAAAAAAAAAAAAAAAGAGAAAAAGAAAAAAAAAAAAAAAAAAAAAGAAGAAGAAGAATAGATTAGAAGGGAGAAATAAGGACTAGTTGTTGAGTTGTGTTGAAAACTCGATCCATTGCCTCAAGGCAAAAGTGTTGACGTGTGAATTTTGGAGAATCGAGTTTATTTAAGTATTTTGGAGAATCGAGTTTATTTAAGTCCCTAGAGGTGAATTCATTGTTTCAAACGCCTATCTTTCAAATTTTGGCGTAATCACCTCAATTCAAGAAAATTAGCCACATATACCCATATTACCTACCTCGGACCAAAGAGCCTAACAATTGAAAGCCACAAAGTCCCAATGATCCCAATAGCTTATTGTTCAATATTAGTTGAGTAAAATAATTTGGTGAGTATTTGGAGTCAAATATATGCATGTAAGTATAAATTCTTTCTATCATTAACTTGCAAATATTGGATACTTAAAGCAATTGTATGATTTGTGGTTTTTGGTAATAGTGAGTGACTAAGTGTCGTTGAATGTTAAGCTTGCGAATACCTATGAATTGTCATCATAATTGCAAATTCTGAAAACGCTAAGTTGACCCATCGATCTATGTAATGAGATGCATGGTTTTGGTTTGTGTTCTTGATTTGATTTTACTTGAGGACAAGCAAAAGTTCAAGTTTGGGGGTGTGTTAAGTGTATATTTATACACTTAATTATACCTTTTAATTGGAGCTTTTGGTGTGTTTTTACGATAATTGGTGCTTAATTTGGTTATTATTTGTATTTTAGGTGCAAATTGAAGAATTGACAACTTTTGGGGTGAAAACTGCAAATTCAGAGAAAAAGTGGGCCAAAAGTGAAAAAAAAACAGATTTCTGAAGAATTAAAAGACCGCACGGCCGTGCGGATTTTAGTTCAAAATCTCACACGGCCGTGTGAGTGGACGTGATGGCGCAGTGAAGGGAACTCAATTATACAAGGAAACCCGCCCTATTAGACTTTTGCACCCTATTTAAAGGCCACAAGCACACAATTAGACCTATCTTTTTTATCTTTTACCTTTCATCTTTATTTTAGTTTTTAGCTTTTATCTTTCGACACGCAATCAAGGAGCAAGAACGAAGACGAAGACTTGACGACTCTTCATTATAGTTCTCCTCTTTTATTGTTTTTATGATTTTTCGTATTTTCATTATGTTTTCCGTAACGAACATGAGTAGCTAAGTTTTTATTCTAGGATTTTATTGGAACCCTATGTGGTGATTCGAACCTCTTTTTCGACTTTTATGCAAGTTTAATTCTTCGATTATTTCCTCTATCTTGATCTTATTTAGTGCATGAGCGTAGCTAACTTATGTTGCTAGTTGTTATTGTTAGAATTGATTGACAGATCGTTTTAATAATTAGAACAGGGATAGGAGAACCTTCGAGTAGTTTTTCACCGAATGCGTGTGTTAATTGCATGTATTATCGTAGACATACAGATAATACCTTAGGTAGCCGTTTGCGAGACTTGTTATTTAATGCTTTATTTATATTAGGTTTGCATAGACATATAGTGAATATTTTATGAATAATAGGTTTATAGCGCAGCGACAGCTGGTTATGAATAATTTCGTGTCTTGGGTTAATAATCGGGAATCGTAACTTGCATAATAGGAGATTAATTGGGTGAGAATTATTGCATAGGGGGAAGATAAAATCCTAGATCCGTTTATTATTGATATTTTCTTGTGATTACTTGCTTTCTCAATTAGTTTAATTTATTTAGTTAATTAATTTGACAACCCTGCGTAGGCTGGATAAAAATCACAATTGTTAGGATTTGGTACTTAGGATTAAATAATTTGCGTATTCCCTGTGGGATCGACATCCGACTCTCACGAGTCTACTTTACTACTTGTTTGCGATACGTACACTTGCGTGTTGGTATTTAGCACCCAACAAGTTTTTGGCGCCGTTGCCGGGGAATACGGCTAAATTATTTATTTATCCTAATATTAAATTTGAACAATTTTTCTTACTTCAGCCAAATTTTTTTTTTTTATTTAATTATTTTTTTTTATTTTGTTTTAGGTACTTTTTATGCGAAGAGGACACGACACGAGCCTGCTACCTCTTGATCCCGAAATTGAGCGAACGTTTAGGCAAGCCAGGAGAAATCAACGGTTAGCCCAAAACAATCCGGCAACGATGGAGGACGAGAATAATCGTGGAGAAGGTGACCAAAGGCGCCCACCGAATGTGGCAAGAGAAATCGTCAACGAGCAAGAGCAACGCCAGCTGATTAATCCACCGCCTCGTCAACGAGCACTGCATGAGTACACCGTCCCGACACTCGATGGGTTCCAATCAAGCATCCAGCAGCCCCCCATTGAAGCCAACAATTTCGAGATTCGAGCGGGACTCCTCACGATGCTCCAAAACAATGGTCTTTTCAGCGGATTGGCTCATGAAGATCCACATCTTCACTTGGTCAACTTTCTCGAAACGTGCGACTCGCACAAGATGAACGGAGTAACACCCGAAGCACTGCAACTCCGCCTGTTCAAGCACTCCCTACAAGGAGCAGCCCGAGAATGGTTGCAAACTCGCGCACCGCACTCCATCTCGTCTTGGGCCCAGCTAGCGCAACTTTTCATGAACACATACAACTCCCCAACAAAAACTGAGAGAATCCGGAGAGAAATTCAAAATTTCATACAAGAAGCCGGTGAAGCACTATTCGAGACGTGGGAGCGGTTCAAGCAGCTAGTAAGGAGGTGCCCGAATCATGGACTTCAAGAGTGGCGCCAATTGCAAATATTTTACGATGGATTGCAAGACAACTCGAGAACCATGCTCGACTCTGCAGCTGGAGGTATGTTCATGAGTTTGACCTATGACGAAGCATACGAGCTCTTGGAACGAATCGCCAGAAATAAATACATGCGAGCATCGGACCGGTCGAATAGCGGAACAGTCAAGACGGGAGGAATTTTGGAGTTAGACGGAGTCACTGCAATCACGGCCCAATTGGAGAAGCTATCGAAGCAAGTAGCTGCTTTGCAGACTCAGCAAGTCCATGCAGTCCAAGTTCCCGACCAGCGCGTAGAAGAAACGGAGTCTCTGAATTATGTGCATGACACCAACCGACAACAGAGGAACCCGTACTCCAACACGTATAATCCCGGATGGAAGGATCACCCTAACTTTGGGTGGGGAGGAAATCAGCAAGGACAAAGGCAAGCACCACCTCAAGGTCAACCGCCTAATTATTCACGACCAGCGCCCGGATTCCAAAATCCGCCTCAAGCCCAACCTCAAGGTGGAGATCTCGCAAACATCTTGGCGCAGTTTATGACAACCACCCAAGCCTCCATCCGCAATTTAGAAACACAGATGGGCCAACTTGCAACCCAACTAACAGCGAGGCCATCGGGAGCACTGCCATCAAACACGGAAGATCCTCGGAAGAACAACGTCGAGCAGTGCAACGCCGTGAGTTTAAGGAACGGGAGACAATTGGAGGAGGCCCCACGAAAGGAGAAGCAAAACACGGTAATCGAGGAGCCGAATGAGATTGAGGAAAAAGAAGCAACTCGCAAGGAACCGCCATCTCCCACAGTGATCTCACGAGTCCCTCAAGTCCCATATCCTCAAAATCTTCAAAAGAAGAAGCTCGATGCCGAGCACCAAGGATTCTTGAACAAGCTGAAGGAAATCCACATCAATATTCCGTTTATCGAAGCCATTCAAAAGATGCCAAAGTGGGTGAAATTCCTCAAGGAGCTCGTAACAAAGAGGAATAAATTGCAAGGGAATGAGATCATCCAACTCACAGAGCAATGCAGTGAAATTCTTGTACGACCCCTTCCACAAAAACTCGGCGATCCAGGTAAGTTCACTATTCCTTGCACTATCGGAGGTAGAAATTTTAGGTCGCTCATTGATTTAGGTGCTAGCATTAATCTCATGCCTTATTCCATTTACAAAAATCTTGGGTTAGGTGAGATTGAACCAACGGCTATAACCCTTCAATTAGCCGATAGGTCTTTAGTTTACCCAAAAGGTATTCTAGAGAACGTGCTAGTAAAAGTGAATAAATTTATTTTCCCTGTGGATTTCGTTATACTTGATATAGATGAAGATAGGGAGATACCTCTTATTCTAGGAAGGCCGTTTTTAGCCACGTCGAAAACTCTAATTGATTGTGCTAGTGGTGATCTTTCAATGACAGTGCACGATCAAACGATCAAATTTAACGTTTTTAGCGCTAATAAAAATCCATGTGATGATAGTGATTGTTATGCTATTGATCTTGTGGATTTTACAAATCATGACGATTTTGACGTTTTGATCTTAGACCATGGGAAAGGATCTTTAAGTGCAGGAGATGGTGGCGGAAAAGATAGTCGGACGGAGCAAGTTTATTGTGCGAACTCAATTTCAACTCCGCCGAGGGACAGTCAAAAGAGTTGGGATGATAACAATGATGAACGTGCAAGGTGGATCTGGCCACCTAACGAACCAAACGAGCATTATTGGGGAGAGGAATTCAATCGCCAAGTGACTTCGGTCACGTTAGCTTGAACAAAGAAGCAGACAAAGTCCGGCTGAAGACTGTAAACTTAGCGCTTCTCGGGAGGCAACCCGAGCTTTCGTTTTTTTTATTATTTTTTTTTTTTTTTGTTATTTTAAATTTGTTAGTTTTTATTTTATTTTATTTTATTAAAAAAAAAAAAAAAAAAAAAAAAAAAAAAAAAAAAAAAAAAGGTTTCAGGGGCACTAATAAGAAGTTTTTATTTTGCAGGGACCTAAATGCAATTATTCACACGGCCGTGCAAGAAAAAGGGAGGAAATTCACACGGCCGTGTGAATTTCGGGGATGCTACTGTATAAAATCCGGAAATGGGACGGCCGTGCGGATTTTTCCCTTAAAAATCGCACGGCCGTCCAAAAATTGAAACAACCACTGCCCAAATATGCAAAATGGCACGGCCGTGCAGATTTAAGGCCAAAATTCCGCACGGCCGTGCGGAAAAAAAAAAAAAAAAAAAAAAAAAAAATTCGGGCATATTAAATAGGGGTTTTCCAAACCCCAATTTTCACAATTCCAATCCCCACTTCTCTCCTAATTCGAACCCTAACCCCATCTTTTCAAAATTTTCGACTTTCTTGAACAATTTCACCGAAAAACTTGTTGGGTGCTAAATACCAACACGCAAGTGTACGTATCGCAAACAAGTAGTAAAGTAGACTCGTGAGAGTCGGATGTCGATCCCACAGGGAATACGCAAATTATTTAATCCTAAGTACCAAATCCTAACAATTGTGATTTTTATCCAGCCTACGCAGGGTTGTCAAATTAATTAACTAAATAAATTAAACTAATTGAGAAAGCAAGTAATCACAAGAAAATATCAATAATAAACGGATCTAGGATTTTATCTTCCCCCTATGCAATAATTCTCACCCAATTAATCTCCTATTATGCAAGTTACGATTCCCGATTATTAACCCAAGACACGAAATTATTCATAACCAGCTGTCGCTGCGCTATAAACCTATTATTCATAAAAGATTCACTATATGTCTATGCAAACCTAATAAAAATAAAGCATTAAATAACAAGTCTCGCAAACGGCTACCTAAGGTATTATCTGTATGTCTACGATAATACATGCAATTAACACACGCATTCGGTGAAAAACTACTCGAAGGTTCTCCTATCCCTGTTCTAATTATTAAAACGATCTGTCAATCAATTCTAACAATAACAACTAGCAACATAAGTTAGCTACGCTCATGCACTAAATAAGATCAAGATAGAGGAAATAATCGAAGAATTAAACTTGCATAAAAGTCGAAAAAGAGGTTCGAATCACCACATAGGGTTCCAATAAAATCCTAGAATAAAAACTTAGCTACTCATGTTCGTTACGGAAAACATAATGAAAATACGAAAAATCATAAAAACAATAAAAGAGGAGAACTATAATGAAGAGTCGTCAAGTCTTCGTCTTCGTTCTTGCTCCTTGATTGCGTGTCGAAAGATAAAAGCTAAAAACTAAAATAAAGATGAAAGGTAAAAGATAAAAAAGATAGGTCTAATTGTGTGCTTGTGGCCTTTAAATAGGGTGCAAAAGTCTAATAGGGCGGGTTTCCTTGTATAATTGAGTTCCCTTCACTGCGCCATCACGTCCACTCACACGGCCGTGTGAGATTTTGAACTAAAATCCGCACGGCCGTGCGGTCTTTTAATTCTTCAGAAATCTGTTTTTTTTTCACTTTTGGCCCACTTTTTCTCTGAATTTGCAGTTTTCACCCCAAAAGTTGTCAATTCTTCAATTTGCACCTAAAATACAAATAATAACCAAATTAAGCACCAATTATCGTAAAAACACACCAAAAGCTCCAATTAAAAGGTATAATTAAGTGTATAAATATACACTTAACACACCCCCAAACTTGAACTTTTGCTTGTCCTCAAGTAAAATCAAATCAAGAACACAAACCAAAACCATGCATCTCATTACATAGATCGATGGGTCAACTTAGCGTTTTCAGAATTTGCAATTATGATGACAATTCATAGGTATTCGCAAGCTTAACATTCAACGACACTTAGTCACTCACTATTACCAAAAACCACAAATCATACAATTGCTTTAAGTATCCAATATTTGCAAGTTAATGATAGAAAGAATTTATACTTACATGCATATATTTGACTCCAAATACTCACCAAATTATTTTACTCAACTAATATTGAACAATAAGCTATTGGGATCATTGGGACTTTGTGGCTTTCAATTGTTAGGCTCTTTGGTCCGAGGTAGGTAATATGGGTATATGTGGCTAATTTTCTTGAATTGAGGTGATTACGCCAAAATTTGAAAGATAGGCGTTTGAAACAATGAATTCACCTCTAGGGACTTAAATAAACTCGATTCTCCAAAATTCACACGTCAACACTTTTGCCTTGAGGCAATGGATCGAGTTTTCAACACAACTCAACAACTAGTCCTTATTTCTCCCTTCTAATCTATTCTTCTTCTTCTTTTTTTTTTTTTTTTTTTTTCTTTTTCTCCTTTTTTTTTTTTTTTTTTTTTTTTTTTTTTTTTTTTTTTTTTTCGAATCGAAGGATTTAGATATATATATATATATATGAAGATGCACATATATATCTATCTTTTTTCTTTTTCTCTTTTTTTTTTTTTTTATTTTTTTTTTTTAATCTGTTTTTTTTTTTAGAAGAAGAAGAAAGATCTAATAAAACATTTCGACCGAACTCCAAGGGATAATTATTCAAAAATCTCCACTTTTCCACCTTCTACATATTAGCTAAAAGAAAGAACACCTTTTTTCTCCGAGGCTCAAATCAAGGTTCTAAGGATAAAAATTTAAAGGTAGGCTTGAAAGGCTCAAACGGTTCAAAGAAGGCCCAAATCATATCCCAAATCACTCATTACCCAACACTTCGTTTCATAAATGTCCTAAGGTGAGATTTAAAACCGAACAAAGCATGATTGAGCACAAATAAATTCCAAATTTAAAATGCAAAACATTCAACCAAAGCAAAGCACAAGGTGTGATTCCTAGCAATAATTCACTTCTACGTTCCGTTGAATCGAAAGCTAGACAAATACATACTCCTTATCAACATAAAACAAGTAGTTTCATCATCAAACATTGACCATCTACCATCATCGTAATTCATCGATGCATCGAACAAATTTTTTTTTTTTCTTTTTTTTTTTTTTTTTATTTTTTTTTTATTTTTTTGTTTTTTCATAATAAAAACGAAAATAATAAAACGGCAACTAAAACAAAAACTAAAGCATGCAAAATAAAATAAAATAAAAAAAACACAAATAAGGCGCACATAAAATAAAACAAGTAGTTAACCACCCCCAAACTTAAAATTCACATTGCCCTCAATGTGATTCGCCCGGAGTTTAAGGATAGAAAACACCTGTTTTTAAGCGTCGGGACCATCGTCGGGTTGTTGGATTTTTATCGGTTTTCTTGCCCTTCCCTTTGCTCTTTGAAGTGCATTCGCCTTGTGAGGTGCCCTCCCCGTCACGTCCTCGTTTCCCCACTTTCTTGAACCCTCCTTGCACAAATCAGCAACAAACAACCGAGATAAGCAACAATATGTGTGTAGTTGGTGAATTTTCGGTGAAATTGTTCAAGAAAGTCGAAAATTTTGCATGGATATCAGGGTACCAGGGTTATGCATTTTTAATGCACGACAATAGCGTCTCAGTTTATCATAACATGTCGTCTCATCACCATGGATATCACGCATTGCTTTTTCTTTACCCCTCCATGCTGTGTAGTACTGAAGCTCCAGACCATAATCGTCTCGGATATCTTCTAACATACCACATGGTGTGTAAGCTGGCTGCGTTCTCAATTTTCGTTTCATAATTTCGGATTTCTCATACTCTGCCATGCTACCAGGGTTATGCATTTTTAATGCACGACAATAGCGTCTCAGTTTATCATAACATGTCGTCTCATCACCATGGATATCACGCATTGCTTTTTCTTTACCCCTCCATGCTGTGTAGTACTGAAGCTCCAGACCATAATCGTCTCGGATATCTTCTAACATACCACATGGTGTGTAAGCTGGCTGCGTTCTCAATTTTCGTTTCATAATTTGGGCAATCCATGTAGCATCGGCTTTAGGATGACCCCTTGTACGAAGAGTAGCATCACCACAAGTGTGCTCAAGATTGCACTTGCGAATGCTAAATAACTTATCTGACTTGTACAATGATGCATAAACCCTCCATTTGCAGTTTTCGTGAATGCATACTGCTATGATCTTTTGTTGATCATTTTTCATGTACTTAAATGATCGATTATTAGCAATAGAATAGTTTTTCAGCATATGCCTAAAATCATCAGGATCTTTAAAAAACTGATTCTCCCCACGGATGCAATGTCTCCATGCATCAATTGAATTTCCAAGCGGATTACCCTCGATTTCCATCGATTGATCACCGCTTTTGGTTTCAAAAAAATTTTAAAAATGGATTACAATAGAGTGGAATCCAAATAACAATGTACATGAAAATATCATAACAATGCACTGGTTTCATACTATCTTCTCCATTATATAATACTAAGTTTTCCCACAAATAGTACCAAGTTTACCTATCACCCATACTATTCAGATGAAGGTTACGTACTATCTTCCCCATTATATGATACTATGTTTTCCCACCAGCAGTACCAAATTTACCTATCACCCATACTGTAAGTACCATACGTCCATACCATATTTATATTAGCATGATACTATTATGTGCCATATTTTATACTATGTATCACACAATAATTAATAACCATAAAGAAATGCATTTCAGCAGTACAGAAAAAGATGGAGACCTACCAGCCATCGGTGCGAACCCTCTTTCCACGCGAATTAGCTTCATCTTTGCAGGTCACGACAATGTCGACCACACTCATCTTCATTATCAGATGCAATGCAACCATATTCTCCACATCTTCATCAGTGCCCAATGTCACATACAATCTTTCCCGAGGAGCCAAGTATTGGAGGATCAGTGCATCTGGATGGATATGATTCCATTTGTTGATAATAGCACCATATATCTCCATTAATGTCGAATTACTTTTTATGGAAATAATGTGAAGTTGATTTTTGTATCGACAACTTCCAAGAATCACACTGGGTACATCGTTAGATACATCATTTGTAGCCATTGTGGGGTGGGTGGGTTTTACAGTGATTTTTTCGCCGGAAAAAAGGGGAAACCAGAGGAGAGAAATGGAGAAGAAATAGAGAAGAAAGAAAGCAGATAGAAATGAAGAGAGAGAAGAAAGAAAGAGAAGATGAAGAGAGAGAAAAGCAGGAGAGAGAAAAGGGTGAGAGTGAGAAGAAAATATAATAAAATATATAAAATTCACATTAGGGACTGATCTGCATGTTAGGCGTGTGAGTAGGGACTGAAATGCTAGGGCAAACTACGTAGGGACTGATCTGTGTTTCAAGTTTTGGATTAGGGATTTATCTGTAGTTTCCCCAAAAAAAGGGGAAACTTTAGATAAATCCCTAATTCAAAACACAAAACACAGATCAATCCCTAGGTAGTTTCCCTAAGCAAATTAGTCCCTACTCACGCGTCTAACATGCAGATCAGTCCCCATTGTGAATTTAATATATTTTTTATATTCTCTCTCTTCTTTTTCACTCTCATCATTTTCTCTCTCTTCATCTTCTCTTTCTTCATTTATATCTGCTCTCTTTCTTCTCTCTTTCTCTCCTCTAGTTTCCTCTTTTTCCGACGAAAAAATCACTGTAAAACCCACCCACCCCACAATGGCTACCAATGATGTACCAAATGATGTGCCCACTGTGATTCTTGGAAGTTGTCAATACAAAGATCAACTTCACATTATTTTCATCAAAAGTAATTCGACCTTAATGGAGATATATGGTGCTATTATCAACAAGTGGAATCATATCCATCCATATCCTCCAATACTTGGCTCCTCGGGAAATATTGAATGTGAAATTGGGTAGTGGTGAAGATGTGGAGAATATGGTTGCATTGCATCTGATAATGAAGATGAGTGTGGCCGACATTGACGTGATCCGCAAAGATGAAGCTAATTCGTGTGGGTTCGCACCCATGGCTGGTAGGTCTCCATCATTTTCTGTACTCCTGAAATGCATTTCTTTATGGTTGTTAATTATTGTGTGATACATAGTATAGAATATAACACGTAATAGATCAAGTAGTACCGCTTTTGAGGTATATGAAGAGGACAAGTCGTATAAGGTTGACTTGCAGCACAAGACTTGTTCTTGTAAAGCATGGCAATTAGAGAAACTTCCATGCAAACATGCATGTGCATGTTTGGAGTCAAAAGGATACTCAGTATATGAGTTTGTTGATCCATGCTTTCATATTGATACGTACAAACAGGTATATCAATTCACGATTAACCCAATTCCCTCGTTTGATGAGGACTTTGACTTGTACGATGCGTGTAATGCTCCGCCCGATGTCTTTGTTAATGCACCTGATTCGAGAACTCGACCGGGACGTAGAAAGACAAAAAGAATTCCTTCACAAGTGCAAACTCGTAAACTGAAGTGTACTCGGTGTGGGAAGCCTGGACACAATCGTCGTACTTGCACACAACCAATCTGACTAGCAATTTTTTTTAATGTAAATATTGTCTGCATTTGTGTTACTTAAACTAACTAGTCTTGTTTCTAATGTAAATTTTATGTTTTTCATCAGGGAGGACAAGATGGAGGAGAGCTTACATGATTGCCCATTATGTTATTCAAGTGATTGAAGTGAATGAAAACTGGCTGTTTGTACTTTATTATTATGTGATTTGCACTATGTTGTTTTGAACTTTGTACTATGTTTCAATTTGCACTATGTTTTTGCTATTTGTAGTTTGTACTATGTATTAGGTACTCTGTTCATTGATGGTTTATCATTTTCAGTCTAATGTTACTATTTTTATTTACACATGGTATTGGATATGAGATAGGATGGTATGCCTATTGTTGGTTGATAGTTTATCATTTTCAGTCTAATAGTACTATTTTTATTTACACATGGTATTAGATATGCGATATGATGGTATGCTTGTTGCTGCTTGATGGTTTATCATTTTCAGTATAAAGGTACTGATTTGATTTACGCATGGTATTATCTATGAGATAGGATGGTATGACTTACTCAATTTATGACCGTTACAATATAGCCGTTGATTATAATATAGCCGTTGCTTATTGTCAGAACTAGTCAAGTCATAATATGACCATAAATGACACATAGGCTCATTTGTTTCTAATTCATGGCTTCTTCTAGTAGCACCACTCAAATGAGTGGGTTAAAATACAAAAAAGGGAAATGCAAGCGTCTTGATTGTGGGAAGAAAACAATAATCATGGTTTCAGAAACTATTTCGAATCCCGGAAGGTTATTTTACTGTTGCCCACACCATGGCTACTCCCATTGGTGTGAACCATTTGAAGTTGGGCAAACTTTTTCCAACTCAAATCGTGAAGAAAATGAAGCTACAAGTGCGTCGATGAACCAAGTCCATCAAGAAAGTGAAGTGAAGAATTGCAATTCTGAAGGTGGAGTAGTTCATAGTTTGATAGTGTTGAATCTAGTAATATTTGCAGTCTACATGCTATGTAAAACCTATGTACTGTTGTTTAATTAGTGAACATAAGAGTACAATGTATAAGCTGGTAAAGTTCGGGTTCTTCAGCATTTATAGTACGCTTTGTTAACCAATTAAGTATAATGTATTAGCTGGTAAAGTACAAGTGAGTCGTGAGTATAGTACCATGTGTTCACTGATAAAGTATATGTTTGCCATTCATATAGTATTTTTACAGTCTATATATTATTGTCGGGCCAATGCATCCATATGATCGCATTTTAAGACACAACTCGTCAGTTTTAGACTATTAAGAATGAATGGAGACAATGTGGGAGTAGATCAACATCGACTACGGTAAGAATTGAGGAAAGTATTAGTTTTACACTTGAGCATTGTAGACTTGTATGAATATATTGTATAGTATATGAGTATCATGTATGAAATTCAACATATTTATGGGATCTTGTATTCCAAACGCAACAATAATGCTCACCTACCTTAAAATAATCATTTAAAACATAATTTATGCATCTCCCGTACTTATTGATCATTAAAACGTCGATGAAATTGGTACAATTCAATTCATCAAAAAATATAGTACGCTTTGTTCACCAATTAAGTATAATGTATAAGCTGGTAAAGTACAAGTGAGTCGTCACGATAGTACGATTTGTTCACTGATAAAGTATATGTTTGCCATTCATATAGTATTTTTACAGTCTATATATTATTGTCGGGCCAATGCATCCATATGATCGCATTTTAAGACACAACTCTTCAGTTTTAGACTATTAAGAATGAATGGAGACAATGTGGGAGTAGATCAACATCAACTACGGTAAGAATTGAGGAAAGTATTAGTTTTACACTTGAGCATTGTAGACTTGTATGAATATATTGTATAGTATATGAGTATCATGTATGAAATTCAACATATTTATGGGATCTTGTATTCCAAACGCAACAATAATGCTCACCTACCTTAAAATAATCATCTAAAACATAAATGGAGACAATGTGGGAGTCGATCAACATCGATTATGGTAAGTTTTTCGTGAATACACATGTAATCGCAAAATAAAGTACCATGTGTTCAAAAGGCAAGTACATTTCATCGAAACATATAGTACAATGTATACAATGAAAAAGTACGAGTAGAGCTAATCAATAGTATTATTAGCTCTACAACAAAAGGACAGATTGTTTATGGCATAAAAACACATTCACCTGTTCATTAATTAATTACAAAAAACACAAGAACCCCAAAACACTTCCACTCCCAGTTTTTTCACAATAACGCCAGATCTATTTCATATTTAGCTTCCACTTCTACTCCCCGATGCCTCAGAAAGATAGCTGCTAGTTTTGGGCGAAGTATTTTGATATCGCAAGTTTTTGCCTTAAACCAAATTTCTTCACTGTTTACAGCATGACAATATGCCCACATGCAGACAAACAAGCCGCAATCAAGGTTCCCATCCTGCTGCCTGCATCCATGAACCCATTTAGCTTCCGATTGTATCTGCAACCCAGACCTTCTTTCAACCACCTTGCTGTAAAACGAGGCCTACGAAAATAAAATATTATATTAGTCTACAACAATTCGCAAGAATAAAGAATAACTAATTACAAGAATATGGGCTTACGACATAATCCGCAATTCCTGGGAAATTCGGAGAATAGTCTATGGAGTTCCAATGGTAAATACATTTATCTATTGGGTTCAGAACAAGCAGGAACCAGTGTTCACTGGAATTGATAGGTATCATGACAAATGTTTTACTGAAGATATTTGCTGTGTTTAGCTTGTCAAAAGCCATCGTTCCAAAAATAGTAAAATCATTGAGAAGACGATCAAACTTGGCATCGCTCATTCGTTCTACGTCCATCCGAGGTCGCGACATTAACTCTTGCTACGAAACATAATAGAGAATATTAGATAACATTGTAATGTATGCAAAATTATTTGTTAAACCACTATATACCTGGGCAGGGGAGTCAAGGTAATCAATCTCATGTCCATGCTGGGTCATGATAGATTCGGAACATAATAGATTCAAGTACAAATCTATGTGTTCTGCACTCAGCATTTCATCAAATAAAAGTTCGCACATATGCCTTCCCGTCAACTGATGTGGGCCTCTCTCCACAATAATTTCACTACAGTAAGACATAACCACGTACTATTGGATAAGTAAACTTGTACTATGTACAAAGTTACTACATACTATAACATGCAGTAAACATGTACTATTGGATAAGTAAACTTATACTATGTACAAAGTTACTACATACTATAACATGCAGTCAACATGTACCATTGGATAAGTAAACTTATACTATGTACAAAGTTACTACATACTATAACATGCAGTCAACATGTACTATGCATTCACTTGACATATACCATTAAAGACATTAACATGTACTATCAAGGTGGTTGTGCTCTTACCCTAAATCAACACTTTCCAAGAACTGATCCAACAATATCCTATCTTCTTCGGATATTCGGTCACGACGTACGTAGTCATTTCTTCCCCGGTAATAATCGGCATTCTATATAACGAATAAATCACACCAATTATGACAAAAAATAATAATAATGTAATACTAATATTAGATAAAAATACCTTGATCCCAGGGACTGAAACCGAAACCTTGGACACAGGAACTTGTTTACGACCACGTCCTCGTCCTCGTCCTCGCACGCGTGGAACTTTGGCCTTTGACTTTGACTTTCGTCTCCTTGATTTCTCTCTCTTTCTTCACTTTCGTCTCCTTGATTTCTCTCTCTTTCTTCACTTCGTTCTCCTTCACCTTCCATCCCCTTTCCTCCTTCATTTTCTCCTTCCTTTTCCCTTTCCTCTATCTCTGCCTCTATCTCTATCTCTTTCTCTGTCTCCGTCTCTCTCTCTTTTTCTGTCTCTGTCTCTTTCTCTTTCTCCTTCTCTTTCTCCTGCTCTTTCTCTATCTCTATCTCCTTCTCTTTCTCTATCTCCTTTTCTTTCTTTCTCTTACTCTGCATTTTTTTTTCTTTATTTTTTTCTTCTGTTACATTCCCCCTCTTCCTTTTTAAGTTATTCTTCATCTGCTGCAACTAAAAAAAACAATAGTACGAAACATGTTATACCATAGTATTATATTAGTTGACATATAGTATGTTCCAATGGGAATGAAAGTATGAATTTTAGGGTTTATTGTATTAATGACTTACAGATGTTGCTTCCACGTCTCCAATCTCATCTTCACTACTCTCAGAACTTATTTCCACAAATCTGTCAGCACTAATTCCAACAACTGGACCAGAAATTACTTCCAAAACCGGAGAAAGCAACGCTTTCTCTTTCGGGTACACAGAAAATGGTATAACCTAATAAACGTAAAAAATTTGTTAGCAAATACCTAATACATTATATATTTTGTAACTCAAAGTGTTACCTGCACTTGTTTTATCTGATCAAAAAGCAACCTAGCTGCTTCTTCATCGATTGGGATTTTGCTGTCTTGCCACCGGAAGAACCGGGGAAATTTGTAAACACTGGTGCTAACCCCTAGTGACGTGATCCTTTCATGCACCCATGCCTGCGTATTTTGGAATCAATATTAATTGGTATATTCAATATAACATAATATATATTCACTATTAGATATCACTTACCAATAAGCCGATAGTGCATCCATCAAAATACTTCAACCCCCCCTTCAGATACCCCTCCATATTCTCAACAAGAATATCATACACCAACTTTCCCCATGCAAAAGACCCTAAAACCTCCAAATCTTCTACATGCGGATAAACCCACCTTTCTAACGTTTTGTTCCCCTTTGGCAGTAGAATAGTATTTAACAGATAAATAGTGTACAATCTGCTGAAATCTTCAACAGATTGTTGATCGGTCATAACTGCATAGGCCTCCAGTTTATAACCAATATATGGCCTCGTCACTAAAGATAACTTACCATCAAAAATACGTGTGATGAAATCAGTGTCTCTACCATCCATATTCACATCCACCGGTACGCCTTCGTACTGCAGCCCTAATACGATAGATAATTGCTGCGGAGTGAATTCCAAGCGTATAGTATTTCCCCCAAACCAGAAGGCCCGATCTTCTGGATTGTACGCTTGCATGAGAGACACAACCCTATGGAAGCTGTGGTTTATTTTAGGCATGTCCATGTAGTGATAGAAGGGATTTTTCTTCAGTACTTCATGATGTTGTTTCTTTATCACTTTTTTCACACCTTCCATAGTTAGGTGAAAAGCGATCGGTGAGCACCTGCAGCCTATTGATAGCTTGCTGCAATCTTCTTTTACAACAATTCCTGCAATTACATACACATAAAACAAATACAATTATAACAAATACAACGTACTATAAAGTTCCACATGTCAATACCATCCGAAATCACTAGTAATACCATTCAAAGGCACTGGTAATACTATTATGGCATATGACTTATACTACAGGACCATCAAACATTATACTTCTAGTACCACAAGTCAATACCATCCGAAGTCACAAGTAATACCATTCAAAGGCACTAGTAATACTATTATGGCATATGACTTATACTACAGGACCATCAACATTATACTTCTAGTACCACATGTCAATACCATCCGAAGTCACTAGTAATACCATTCAAAGTCACTGGTAATACTATTGTGGCATATGACACATGCTACAGAACCATCAAAGATTATACCATCTAAATGCACTATTAATACCATTACTGCGCATGACACATACTATAGAACCAGTACGAAAAATACAATAAGCCTCTTTCCCATATCCTATATGAAACCCTTGTTAGGACTCAAAATGCTTTGGGGACATGCTAATGTCACCGAAGAATAATACCCATGAGAAAACTGTTACAAAATCATGAAATTCGACAACAAATAAATGATCTTTGCAAACCCAAACAACAGAACAACAAATATTGGAACCGATTTAATGATTAGGGCAAACACCGAATAAAGTCGAGGCATAATACCCATGAGTGGATATGTTCAAAATCATGCAATTCTATAACAAATAAACCTTTTTGCCCTGCTTAAGCAACACCCAAATGGGTCTGTTTCCAAGAAAATGAAAAAAAAATAAAAAATCAAACCTTGTTGTTTACCCTGCTTCACCATTGTTTATAAATGGGTTTGTTTATACTATTTTTCTGCGGTTTGTTGATTCTTCGTGTTTCGTAATTTCTTCCTTCTTTGTTGTTTCTCTGTTGCGTTTCTTCTTCGTTTCTTCTTCGTTTCTTCTTCGTTTCTTCTTGGTCTGAAAATGGGTGGTTTTTTCTGCGCCTTTTTAGCTTCTTTTTTGTTGTTTGATTTTTGAAATGTAACGGGCAAAGAGCGTGTAATACAAACGGCGCGTTGGAAGTTGAAAAGAAGTTATGTAAAATTAGTATAAAGTAAAGGGTATTTTCGTATTTGCACATTTTATTAGGGACTGATCTGCATGTTAGGCGTGTGAGTAGGGACTGAAATGCTAGGGCAAACTACGTAGGGACTGATCTGTGTTTCAAGTTTTGGATTAGGGATTTATCTGTAGTTTCCCCATTATTATTATTATTATTATTATTATTATTATTATTATTATTATTATTATTATTATTATTATTATTATTATTATTATTATTATTATTATTATTATTATTATTATTATTATTATTATTATTATTATTATTATTATTATTATTATTATTATTATTATTATTATTATTATTATATGAGAATAAGTAAATTTTTTTATATTATTTATAAAAGTTTTATAATCATTATACACTGTAGCGTTGCAATATATATGCTTATTTACAACACATTATCCATTATATAAGTTTTTTCATTTTCTTTCTCTAATTTCTTTTTTGTTTTATTTACTTAAGAATAATAATTTTTGTACATATATTTTTAAAATATTTTTTTTTAATATTTTTTTTCCGCAAATTTTTTTTCCAAAATCAATTATATAATATTTTCGAAAATCAAGAACAATTGATTAGGTATTTTTTTTCATTTCATTTTTTTAATCCATTTGTTTCGGGGGTTTTCTCTAGTCGATTTCCCAAATTGAAAAATTACTACGTATTATTGAAAACAAATTATAAAAGAATCTAAATCAACTAACAATAATTGAAATTAACTAAAAATGTCAAAAACCACTCAAATTACATCAACTACAATTTTGTTTGTTAATTTCAATTTTTAATTTATTTTTTTAATTATCTTCTTTGATTTTTATTCTTCCTTTTTTTTTTTTGATAAGGATTTTTATTCTTCCACGTGGTCAATTTATTGAGAAAAAAAGCTATAAAAAATTGAAAATCAACTAAAAATGTCGAAAACAACAAAAAACTATCGGAAACAGCTTAAAAACAACAGAATAATGAAAAGAACTGTAAAAAATAGCAGAATAACAAAAACTATTACGGTGAAAAATATCCTACATTAAAACCATCACAAAAGGGAAAAAAAAATCAAAAAGATGGAGACGGTGGGTACAGGTGAAAGGGGGAGGAGGTGGCGGTGGCAGTCGCGAGGTCACCAGATTCCGCGGGCAGAGACGAGGGGTGGAGGTAGAGAAGAATTTATAAGTTCTTGTTGTCGTGTTCTACAACTAGATCGAGAACTGTAACGATGGCGGCGGCAGTGACAAGGTCTCCAGATACGACGGTGAGGACGAGAATTTTTCATCATCGGGTCACTACGGAGCGAGCGGCTTTTGGCGGCGCCCGACAGAGATGGCGACAACGATAGTACTGAGGCGGTATCTGGCGGAGGTGGAAGGGGCCGAGATGGCGGCGGCTTGTGAGGCAGGAAGAGAAAGAAGAAACGTGATTGATGAGGGGAGAAAATGGATGGTTGTGTTAGAAAATGGTTAAGGTTGTGGTTATAAGTAGGGATAATATAGATTTATTATTTATAAATATGTAAAGTATTTATTTAGCTAAACAACGAAGGAGATTTCACTAATAACACAAAAGGGGATGGATCCACCCTCACCATGGCGGATCCACCCATTCTCAAGGGTGAATTAAATTAAATATAATAAGATTTGGATGTTAAGAAATTGATATGCACGATAGATGTAACATTGTTCAAAACTCCATCTTAACAAGTATTTAGTTTTTACACGCCACTCTTTTAACATTTTCAGAACTTTTCTCAAAATCTTCATTTTTTTCTTTTACAAAACTCTCCCAAAATTTACAAACGATTTTGTTAATTTTGAAATTTCTAGATATTTGTAATATCTTGTATGTATAGTACTATAAAAAAAAACCTCATTTCCAAGTATTTAATTTTTACACATTAAACAAAATCAATTTTTCATGTCTCAAAATTTTCAGCAATTTCTTTCTCAGATTCTTTCTATTTATTTTTTCTCCAAAACTCTCCCTGAATTAGCAAATGATCTTGTTAATTTTGAAATACTTGTAATATTTTATGTGCATACTATTATAAGAAAAAAAAATTAAGGGCGCCGCCCCCGAAAGCCTTGTCAATTTTTAATCCAACACTTTTATCAAGTGTTACGTGTATTTTTACTATATTAAATTTTGGACATCTCTTGATACCTAGGATTTTAGTCCATCTCACATACTTGACTTTCCCTTGTAATAGACTTCAATTTACTAAAACAAAAAAGGGAAAATTAGCATCCTTAAATAAAATTATGAATTCGCCACAGCATCCTCGTGTACCCAAATGAGTTAGGGATCTCACTAGTAACCCTATCACTAGTAACCCTATCTTTTATTGCAAAGAATTGGGATATTTGCCAAATCATTCTACTCTCAAGTTTTCCATGATTGGTATTGTTCTTGCTAATTCTAATATTGTTCTCCAAAATATTTTTTACATCATCCAAGAAATCTAATATCAAATGAGTTTTTCGATGAATTCAAGAGTTATGTACCCATTCTTTTTTTTTTTTTTTTTTTTTTTAATTATCTACAATTAATTGCATCCCCTTAAAAATATGTAAGTTGAAATGGTACCCTGTAAAATTAAAACGACAAACAGCAACTCCATTTTTTCATAAATATTTTGGTTGATCCTCCTCGTCAGTCGGTGTTGAAGGGGTGACTGAAAGTTGAAACATTGGAATGCTTTTTTTCAGAAATCTTCCTCAACCAGACTTAGGAATCTCTGTCTTGTGTAGTTTCAACAGAACGAAATAGACATACATGCAATTATTGGAGGAAGAATCAAACACCACAACTACTGTATGTTGTTTCTATAAGTATACATCCCTCTTAACTTAATTTCTAAACTATTAAGATGATTTGACGGAAATTTGGAAAGAGACCTGTACATATTCAAACAAATAAGACGGTTTATTATACGTTACACCCGGTGAAATCGAAACCGGGGTAAATTATTACCATTCATTAACACATTACTTCGACAAAACTGCTCATCAACAATGAAGACGTCTTCTACTTAGATCTATCATGTAAAAAAATAAAAAATAAAAACAAAATAACATGTGGAAGACCATTTAAGCATGTTCTTTTGACCTCAAATCAATATTATGTAATTCGAGTTTTTGACCGAGTAAAAATTGAACCGATTTTCAGCAATTAGATGATCCGAAAGGGAAAACAAAAGACACTACACTACTAGGCAAAGTTAGTAATGGATCAGTTATTCTTAATGCAAACCCAACCATTCAGCCACGCGGGATTCCTTTACATATATTAAAGAACATATGATATGAGCAGCATATATAAATTTTTACAATTCCATTTTCGATGATTCAAAAGTTTTATACAAGTACGAAAAAGAGACCTATTTGGTCTATAGTAGTGTATACTCACAAAAAAAAAAAAAAAAAAAAAAAAAAAAAATTATCGAGTATATTAGGATACCATACAAGAATTCACGTTCGCATGACCGCATGACTAGGCAATGAATCAAGAAAATTGGATAGTTGGAAATGTATTATAGTAGGTACCATCAAATTTTACGAGGATAGTGGTTTTATTTTATCCACTACTATCATAGTTATAATTTGTAAGAAACAATGAATAGGGTATACTTCTCTTTTCATAATTGGAACAAACAAATGAAACTCATTCTTTAAAAGTATCAAGTGTTTCGAATCAATCGAACAGAAGGAGAGACGATGGGAAAAAATCTATATATATTGACTACTGAATAATTACCATAAAGATCTCCATACTAGTGAAAAAATCTCCTGCGACACCTGGCGGATCCGAGCTCCTCGTACTCAGCTTTGGTGACACACATTGTTTCAAAATCAGGACTCGATGCTAATAGCGATCCACCACGCCAAACACCTAATATCGGGCTGTAAAAAACAAGACAATCAAGTTCTAATTACGAATTAGCAAAACAAAAAAGAAAACAAAATAATAATTGTTTGTTTTAGAACAAAAGCTCGTTGATGAAAGTAGACTTTACTCTTCTAAAGTTGTTATCTTCAATTTGTATTCATCGGGGACAAGAGGTCGAAGCTCCTTTTCTCTGCTTAGATAAAATATTATTATTATTATTTATTACCTGGCTAAATCAGAACAAAATTCAGAATCTGAATAATGCATAGAACGACGATACTTACAGTCGTTGAGCAAATCCAGGAAATAACGTGTTCCCACCAGTCAAAGTAATACTGCATACGAAGATCAACAAGCATCAAAATAAATATCGGAAAAATATATTAAATGATATGCCACAACTACCACGCAGAAATGTGCAGTTGACATTCGAAGAAGAATATTCCATCACCTTTCGTAAAGCACGGGGTGAAGGAGAGGATTGCATGAATTAACAGCTCGAACGATGCATTCTGCGAGTCCTGCTTGGTTCATTCCTACGTAATGTACGTTTCCCACATAGTAATCTTAGTCAGCAAATAGTTACTCGATTTGTTGTTATACAGTTGATTAAAGATTCAAAAAATGGATTAGCACACATACCCAGATCAGCTGGTCGAAATATCATCTCCGGAACAAGGAACCGTTCATTCGACAACGAAAATTCCTGCAAATTGCATACTACTTCAAAAAAAAATTTAAAACTTAAAAAAATAACCAAAAAAAAAAAAAAAAACGAAGGAAGTAAGGAAGGAAGAGTAATACAGTTTTTGTAAGGTCCATGTTTCTCTTATCCTGGGGTTTATCGTTAACAACTTGCCGCTCCATATAATCTGTTTCTCCATGATCCAAGTTTAGGGTTTGGTACCTGTTTGCTTCATTTGGATCTTTCACAAAACCCTTCATATATGTGATACCATCAGGAAGTACGTATGTACACCTTAATATATTGTCGTTTCCAGGTTTCCTGTAAATTCATTTTTAGGGTAAGAGAGAAAGAAGAACAAAAAATAAGCTAAACAACAGAAAAAATTCAAGATACATAAAAGTGCCATGTCATCTGGTTCATACTGCAATTATAACAGATATTACGAGGTCAGGCTTCAATTACTTTTGAGAGAATGGAAAGATATCAAAACCCCTGTTACTTTTGCCTCGGTAGTGTCCGATAATTCGTCAGGCTATGTTCATGTTAAACTCTCGTCAACTTCTTCATTAAGCATAATTACAAGGCGTGAATCGTGATACTGAGTTTAATGCTTTAATACATTTCTACATGGTACCCAAAGGATTCCTACAAGATCAATCCATCATCGTATTTTACAGAAGAAAGCTCTTAATCCAATCTATAATATAATAGAGCGACCAAAAAGGTCAGAGCTAAAACCGTTTAAGAACAGTAGCTTACGAGTTGCTTTGGTCATAACGAGATATGTGCCTATTTAGTCACGAGCATCCGGATAATATTACTTCTCCATCCGAACCAAATGAAGCATGAAACAGTAGTAGGCAGGATGAGCATATTACACGAAAATGCCATCTAATGTATTGCATACTTTTCATGCAGAATCTATTTTACGATAGTTTTCTATCGTGGTTAAAGCCGCCGAGATACAATTTACCATCAGAGCTTTGACTGTGCATTACATGGTCAACCAACCACTTTGGCAGCATTTTGGTCCCCCCCCCCCCCCCCCCCAGTGGATGCTGCAAGCTACCAATTTCGTTACAATTAAGCAAGCTATCATAATAAGCCACTCATTCTGATTATCCACAATTCAAGACAACAATCCTTCCACTAAAGTTTGCATACCATTTTGGCCGTCTCTATTTCGAGGAGACTGTCTTATATACATGTAAAGTTGTGATGGCAAGTTTCATAATTGCATCTAGCTTAACTATACAATTCTCCTCTCCTTCTACATGGAAAAAAAGGAAAAATAACAGATAGGAAACAGGGAAAACTATTAGGCACTTGTAAAATTCTTTGGAGGCACGATTGCTTCAATGAAACCAATCGATATCCACAAATATGTTCAATAACATATTGGCATAAAATCGTCATTATCAGCTCATCTGATCCTTCATATCTTCAAAGCTTATGTCAATGTCTAGATTACTGTAATTGAACATGGAGCTTTTACGAGGAATAAGTTCATCTCAATTCTCAACTCATTCAAGTACTCACTCCTAAAAGTTCATCTACATTACTTATCTATAATTTCATTTCTCGAGCAATTTATTATGGCGCAATATTATGCGTAATCGGGTGGTCATATTGGACTCGGTACACAGTCAAACGGTCAGTTTTTAGATTGTCTGCATTCAGCCATCCAAAAACATCATTTCCCACTCGGAAAAAAACATTACTCCACTATATATCTAAGCTAACAGTTTCGAATTTCCTAACTACTGAAACACTAAATCATCAAATTACTAAAACCCTCATCATAAATAAGACCTCCAAGACTAAATCAACAAACCAATCAAACTTCCAAAGCCAAAAGGAGTGACAATAGCAGGGAACACAATAAGGCCTCGTTTGGTTGGGTAGATTAGCCGTGATTAACTAAATAATCGGACTCCGTTTCATGTTTGGTATATTCCCAATAACTAACTTACCGGGTCGACCCAGAAATATTATACTATCATGTTACCTTGCCTCTTAAGGAGCTTTTTCATTGGACGTTCGATAAACCAATCGGGTTTTCATTAGATTGTTTAATCTTATCATGGCTAATCTTATCTTGACAACCAACCAAACGAAGCCTAAACATACAATATAACATGTAAAAATACCATAGAAACGAAACAAAAGGAAAGCTAAAAAAACATACAGGTACAGCACAAGCACCTAGCCAAGTTGAGGTCTCTCTGCACATCGAGAGAAACAAAGCAGAGCTTCTCCTTCACATCATCAATAATGAAACTCTCATCCATTACATTCACACTTCTGTAGCTAACCAGCTCCTTCAGATAATTCGTCAACGCCTTCCCGCCGAGATCCATTCTCTTCACGCCGTAGTTCAGCGTGAAATTCTGGAATACGGGTGCCGCGTGTGTGAAGCTAAACCCGGAATCCACCACCAAGCTACACTGCGCTTTCGAGACCAGCCCGTAAGGCCGTCTCGAGGCTTCGTACAGATGCACCAGCGACGGTGAATCGGCGACGAAGAGAGCTTTGAAATTGAATTCCTCAAAGATGATTTCGTCGACGGAGCGCTGGATGGAGGGGAGAGTGAAGAGGGGTTCGGTGAGGAGGAGGGCGGAGCTGGGCGGGTGGATTTTGAGAAGGTTGGTGAAGAGGTGGGCCCATAGGGATGACTGGAGATCGGGGTTGATGAGGTGGCCGCGGTCGATGGGGCGGCGGAGAGTGGCGGAGGTGAGGTCTTCGGTTGGGGAGAGGAGTTGGTCGGCGAGAAGCCATTTCTTGGAGGAAGGGGGGCGGGCGGTGCAGTTTGGGACTACGCATGTGGGGTCTCGCTCGCCGCCGTTGCCGGCTTTTATGAGGCCGCCGCCGTTGTCCAACACTACCACGTTCGACATTGTGCGCCGGGGGTTTAGGAATTGGTCTTTTATGGTACTTTGTCACTGAGGCTTCGAAATTCGCTGCATAACAAAAGCAGAGATGGAAAAGCCAAAAATTGCTAATTTCAAGTTTAAGGTTGTGTTTGCCAAAGCTTAATTAAAAACAAAAATTATGAATTGCGAGTTAAGTTGATTTTAGTGTTTATTTGTTGGGTGTATTCAATTTTAGGTGGAAAATTTAGGGTTGTGCACGGGTCGGTACGGCTCGGTTTTTCCAATAAACCAAACACCTACCGATAATATCGGTTTTTCATATTTTTAAAACTGAATATGTCGGTTTTTTTCGGTTCGGTGTTAATCGTTTTTTCGAACGGTTCGGTATCAATTCGGTTTATTTTCGGTTTCGATTTCGTCTATTTGTTCGAATCGGTTCGGCATAAAACCAATATATTTGGACTTTCATTATATTTATTTGAGAAAATTAACAAATAACAACCGAAAAGTAACTAATAATAAACACGTCACAACCAAAATTAATTAGGGATAATTTGACAAACACCCCTCATTAGCCCCCTCTAATTACAATAAGTCCAAATTTTTTTCTTATTTTTGAGTTAAATCCAAAACAATTAAAATTAATAAAAGTTAATATAGTTTGACAATTATAACCTTTTCTCTTATCACGTTTCTTTATATTTTATATTTTATATTTTATACTCAGTTATTCAATATTTCTCTGTTAAGTCCCATACCCAAACCCTAGATCTTTCGTTCATCCTTTTCTACACAGACCACACCTATGCTGCCCTGCCCTGCCCTGCCCCGCCACCACCACCATCACCTCTGTCCAACGAAAAAGTTCGCTGCGTCGGCAGACAGTGGGGGAGCAAGGCGGAGAGGATCTAGCCCAGAGTTGTGTCCTGCAGTTCCTGCAGCAGATGCATACAGGACACCGGATCCAAATTTACTCCGGCGACTATCTCCGGCAGTAACTCGGCGATGGCGGCAGGAAGGAATATTGAATACCCCTTTAACATTTTTAAAACCCCTATTTAAATATTGTTTTTCTCTTCTATTTATTTTTATTTTCACGATTTGTTTTATTTGGTTGATGGAAAATTGTTTGTTTTGAAATGATGATCGCACTGGGCTCTGAGCAGTTTATCTGCCAATTGATGGATAATGCAGCCTAGAAAGCTATGTCTGATCTTTGTTTAATTTTGTCATATTTAATTAACTAATTTGAAAAAAATATATATTCTTAATCTGATCAATTTACACTTGTTGGCTTTTTGTAGGAGTGTCGGAATTGGATGTTGGTTGCTCAAATTCACCGTCGAACTGCACCATTGTCTACTTTTTTTTCTTTTTTTTTGCTGGTGTCAAAATGCACTAATATTACGGCGCCGGTGTTTTTGGTCGGAGAAATAGAGAAGAAAAGATTGAGAGAAACAAAAAGTTATATATATATATACATATATATATATATATATATATATATATATATATATATATATATATATATATATATATATATATATATATATATATATATATATATATATATATATATATATATATATATATATATATATATATATATATACAGTGGTTTTCGTTAATTACAGAGTGGTTTTCGTTAATTTAATAGTGGTTTTTGAATATTACAGAGTCTAGGAATTTGTAATTATACAGTGGTTTTCGTTAATTACAGAGTGGTTTTCGTTAATTTAATAGTGGTTTTTGTTAATTGATAGGTTTTTAGTGAATCTTTGTAATGAAATTTGTTAATTACATAGTGGTTTTCACTAATTACATAGTGGTTTTTCACTAATTACATAGTGGATTACGTTAATATTAATGTGGATTATGCTTATTTTATAGTGATTTTTACTGTAATTTCATAGTGGTTTTCGATAAATTTAGTGGTTTTCGATGTGTATGTAGTGGATTTTATTTTTTTTAAATATGAACCATTTAAAAAAGTAAAATAAAAAAAAAAAACTTATGTTTTAAATTAATATAAAAAAAACTATTTAAAAACTATTTATACGGTTATGTTTTCTACTGTGATTTGGGGAAGAGGGGCGAATTATATGGCAATGTGATTTTGGGATTGATTTGGAATTGATTTATTTTTGGGAGGGATTTGGTATTAATTTAACTTAATATTTAATTTAATAATTATACTAATAAGTAGGGGCATATATGGGTTTTTAAGTCCAATGGATTTATCTCAAATACCATTAATTAATTAAGGATTTATCAAGAATAAAAAACCCAATGGAGGGTGTTTGACATATTCCCCCAATTAATTAATAGAAAAACATGTCATATGGAGGCGCTCAAAAGATAGAGGCATGCTAGGGTACGTATCTCTACTATATATATAAAAAACATCATTTTGTATAATCAGTTCGGTTCAGGAAATCGGTTCGGTAATTTTTTTATTTTCCATACACAAACCGATGTTTTCGGTTTTTCAAAAAAAAAATTACCGTATATGCGGTTTTAAGTCGGGACGGTATATATCGGCTCGGTTTTTTCGGTTTTCGGTTCGGTTTATCGGTTTCTCGATTTTTTTGCTCACCCCTAGGAAAATTAACTTAAATAGAAAAATGGGGTCATGTGTGCTTAACAAATTATAGTTTTAAATCTGTTTATTTTAAGAGAAGTAACAATATTTGTTTTTGCAAACACCTAAAAATAAATTATGTGAGGAAAAAAGCTCATAATCAATTTCTAAAAGCTTTGGCAAACACAACCTAAGACCGGTGTAACCTTACAAGCGGTTAAAAAGAGCTTACATTATGTTTAAAAGCTTATAAATTCTTTTAAAGTGTTTGGTAGTTTGTTGAAAAAAAATCTTAAGAATTAAAAAATTAAGTTGTTGTTGAAAAAAAATCTTAAGAATTAAAAAATTAAGTTGTTGAGAATTTTTACCATCTATTTAAAAAAGTATATATACCCCCATCTTTTTATTTAAGATTTTATAATGAGTTAAATTAGCTTATTAGTTCATTATTCACACATTTTAAAAATGGGGTGTGCTAAATCTCACACTAAAATTTACTACATCTCACACATAAATAAATAAAAAAAAAATTCTCTCTCTACTAAAATTCTCTCTAAAATGATTTTATCCAAGTCACTCAAAATTCAATAATTTTTTACGTGAATAATGATAAAAAATGAGTTCCGTTTTATTTAATATTTATTCACTTTCATTAAGCCTTTTTAATTATTCAAATTTATATCAATTCGATTTTTTTCCTCAAATTCCAAATTTATTTTAGTTTGAACATGGGAAGATTTTTGTCAAATTCGAACTTGGAATGCTAGAGATATTTTTAGTGTGTGATTTTGTGAAAAAATTAGGAGGAAAAAATAATGGTGGGAAAGGAGAGAGAAGATTGTAGAGAGAAAAATATTTTTTATTATGTGCATGATTTGGTAAAAATAGTGTAGGATTTAACATTTCAGTTTAAAAATTAATTCTAAAAATAAAAATAAGACGTTACAGTTTATCAACTTATCAAATATAAGAATTTATCAGCTATTGAAATTAGCAACCAATTAGGGCTCTAATTTTTTCTTTCAAAACAATTAGAGCAAATAACACATCACACTCTTAAAAAGTTCAGTTTTCACACTAAAGTTGCGTTTACAAACGCTTTTTCAAAGTAATTATGAGCTTTTTTGTTTCAAAATCATTTTTTTTTAAAAGCTTATAATCATTTTGGAAAAGCGTTTGGAAACACTACCTAAACCCCTTATAAATATTAGGGGAAAGTACAGTTTGCACCCTTAAACTATGGGTGTTGTCGCAAACACCCCCTTGAGCTACAAAACGTACCAAAATGGGATTTCCGTTTCAAATCCGTTTGTGTATGAGGACGTAGCAGGTTGACTTTCTCCTCTTTTAATTACTTTTGTAGCTGCAACATTTTTTTGACCTTTTTTCCCTCAATACACTACATCTAAATAGGTATCTATATATACATACTTATACATACAAGTTCTTATATCACACACGTTCTTATGATATATATACACGTAAATAATTACCGTATGTTCGAATGTCCGTGAGTTATATATAAATAATGTAAATATACATAATTTAATTACAAAATAAATTAATTATTAACTCATATTTTACCAACAAATACAGTAAATTAACCAAAACAAAAGTAAAAAATTGTAAAACTTTGCCTCGAGAGTACCCTAGATCAGTCAATCAATACTTCTATCTTCTCTCTTACAAACTTTGGTACATGATATTTCTGTCGGTGTTGGATCCCATCATAAAATAATTGCAGAAATCAGCGTTATTGGTCAGCCACTCGTCGGTGGTGGTTATCGATAGAGACAACCAACAACGGGATTTTATCGGTGATTTGAGAAGGTAATAGAAGGCGTGGAACATGATTGTTTCACCGCTGCTTAGGATGAATCCTCCCTTGTGATAGTAAATGACGAGGGGCAGTTTGGAATTCGGAGCGGGGAAATTTTTCAGCGAGGGGAGATACAAGGATGAATCTTCGTTGGTAAATGTGCTTGCTGGGGACTGGAGATTTGGGATCAGAATAGGGGGCGCGGGTGGGAAGAAATTCCGGCCGACGTGTGATGGAACCATCGTAGTTTTGGGTTTATTACAGGTGGGAAGAAACGTGCCCATTCACGTTAACTCAGAGATACCATTACCCAAACCCTCTAAACTTCACTTTCATGAAGGCCAATTGAAGAAGAGAAGAAGAAAGAATTGACTAGTCCATTTTTTTAAATTAAATACATTTAAGGGCAATTAAGTAATTGCCATGAAAAACTAACGGTGTTAGTTTGTCTGATGTTGACCATATATGACACAGGTTGTTTTGTCGCGCTTTATAGTTCAGGGAGGTGTTAGGGACAAACTCCATAATTCAGGGGTGCAAACTGTACTTTCCCCTAAATATTAAAAACACAAGAAACCCCTTCCAGCCTTAATTAGTTGCACATTGGTCCCAATAACCAAATTTTAATAGAAATTGACTGTTTATGAAGGACAAATTTGTCATAATACTAGTGGTCACTACATTACATGTAGGGGTGCAAGTTGGGACGGAATTTCCAACTTCCGCCGGTTCCGAACTGAAAAGTTCCAATTTTGGAACAACTTTTTCATTCTGACTTCCAAAATTCAGATTTCCGATTTTTTCCGATTTTTTTGGATTAGAATTGGAATTATATAAAATAAATTTGGAATTTCCGATTTCCGATCCGATTTAATTCCAAAAATTTCCGATTTTTTCCCGAAAAAGACACCTATAAATAATATATATTATATAATACTTCATTTCCGAAAAATACACTTATAAGTTTTGTTTTAGGATTTTGACATATGAATTGTTGTTAGAAGTTTTATTGGATATTGTGTTGTGTTTATTTATTTTTATTTTTTTTGAACTAAAATTTAGTAGTTATTAGTTTTACTTTTATTGACGTGGATGTTCTCATTTTTTGAAAAATTATGAACATTTTAGTAAATTTTGGCTAAGGTTTGAAATTTTAAAGCTTATGTGATTTCCGATTTTTTTCCAAAATTCCGAAATTTCCCGGCCTTTTGGAATTGGAATAATTTTTAGATTCCGAAAATTTTGGAATTGGAATTGGAATTGATTTTGTACTTCCGATTTTTTTTGGAATTTTTCCGAAAAGACTATTTCCGATCCGATCCATCCGACTTTCACCCCTAATTACATGTGAATTACAAATAAGGCAGCAAGATGGTGATGCCAGGCCAGCCATATTCACTTTCCTCATACCAGGATTTTAAGTTAATTGCACTTTGCAGGTAGGTCTCCAGTGTGTAGTAGAGAAAACTTCGAGTACACCCGCTCCCACCCACCCAACCACACCCCCCCCCCCCCAAACCCCGTAGTTTAGGTTCATTAATTGTCTATATAAAATGATTTACGCGGTACTAAAATTATGAATATCGTGGAAATCCTTGACCCGCGCCTGGATCGGTAGTCCAATTTAGATTTTTTTTTTAAATGTATTTAGCTTAACAATCTTTTCTTATTATTTCATTCATTAGTTAATTAATTTGCATATGTTCACTTTTGCAAATGTCGACGAGGTGGTCACACGGACTAGGCAAGGGTCTGATGACACGTGGCATGAGACCAGATGGATTTGCTGGAAATGAGGGATCCGCAGGGCAGATGAGACTACTGCACAATGAGAGGGTAGAACACACAAGCGTAACTGGATCTAAACGACGGGTCTAGTGCAATTTGCGACCGGTCGAGTCTGAGGCACAGACGAATCGATTGCATGACGAGGATGATGATGCACATGTAGGATTCCAGAGATGTGTAAGTTCGGTACCAAACAGAGAGATCGATCTTGTTTATACTCCTTGTGATATTTGTTCGGATTCGAGGACGAATCCTTTTAAAGAGGGGGAGAATGATACGATCCGCACAAGCTCCAAGACAAAGAATTGGAAGAAGAGAAAGCGAGTGAGATTAATGGAGCTGTTCGTGTTGAAGTTGAAGTGTAAAGGCTTGAATCAGGCCTTTGAAGAGTCTATGGTTTGGAATTGGAAGAAAAGAAAGAGAAGAATTCGTTGGACAAGTCGAATTCCATGCATCCGAGATTCTCGCCTATTCTGGCAGAGTTCACCATTCGAGTTATAACTCTCGCATCTGAAGTCCATTTAAGCTGATTCAAAATGATTCGGAAAGCTAACTGAAAGATCTACAACTTTCATGTTTTGAGCGAAGAGATATTCGAAGTGGAACAGTGTCGAAATTGAGCTTTAATTGCATGCACGTGCACAGCCCAATGTCGCGAGTTAAGAAGGGTGATCGAGAAGTCGACTTGAAGATCAAGTTATCTTATTTAATTATGCACGTTTTTAATTTAGGTTTTATTATGTTTTTATTATTTTAGAGTCCTTTATGGTTAGGATTTGCTTATTTATTTATTTCCTTATTATAGTTTAGGTAGGAGTCCTTTTCCTTGTGAAAAAAGAGTCTTTTTAGACCTTATAAATAGGTTGCCAATTTGGCTTATTTATAGAAGACGAATTTTAAAGAATATTTGAGTATTTTGAGAGTTAATTCTCATTCGCTGTTCTACAGCAACTTTCGGGATTTTACAAGTGGATTCTTGTAACTTTCTTAGCGCCATAGTATTGGTTTCTGGTTCTCTATAACCACGGGGTCAATATTATATTTCACCTTGATAATAATGGTTTCTAGCTCTTTATAGCTATGGGGTCATTGTTCCGTGCTTCCGCCAAACTTGAATCTTTGTTTTTGGGTGTTTTCGATCTTGCTTCCGCGTAGGGTATTGGGTCTCGTAACAAGTTCTACGGGGTTCGTATCAGTTGGTATCAGAGCCAACATCCAAAACAGGTTTCGCCTATCCTTTATCTTTTGAGTCAGTCCTTTCTTTCGTGTCTTCGTTTTGTTTTTCGTTTCGTATCAGTTGGTAACCAGAGCCAACATCCAAAACAGGTTTCACCTATCTTTATCTTTATTTTTGAGTCAGTCTTGTCCGTGTCATCGTAGTTTTCTTTTGTCTTTTGTCGAGTCTTCTAGTCCTCTTTTCTCTTATTCTTCGTTGAGTTGTTTAGAGTCAAATATAAAAATAAATCGAATTTTTGGTTATTTTGTTTTGAGTCTAAGTTAGGTTTTGTCTAAAGTCCAAAAAACAAATAGAAAAAAAAAAAAAAAAAATCGAAATTTATTTTTTGTTTGAAGCTTCTTAGAGTCTAAGTTAGGTTTTGTCTTGAGTCTTCGTCAAAAAAAAAAAAAAAAAAAAAAAAATCGAAATTTATTTTTGTTGAAGCTTCTTAGAGTCAAAGTTAGAGTTTGATAGTGTCTCAAAAAAAAAAAAAAAAGAAAAAAAAAAAAAAAAAAAAAAAAAAGAGCTTTGATTATGTCCGAGAAGGCCTCTTATAAAGGAGAAAGATTTGAGCAGCGTAGGATGTCGCCAATGGATAAACGCTTCCAGGAACTCCAAGATCGGATGGAAGGAATTATTACCCAACTAAAGGAACTACGCAAAGATCAACAACATGTTCGAGGGCCATACGTACGACGTGATGCTCACCAACCAGTTGTACCTTATCCTGATAAAGAGGTAGATCGTGATGGAAATTTTGGTGTTAACGCTACAAAATCAAGGAGGGAGAGTATGGGACGAGGGTCTGGATTGGATAGATCGAGCCGGGGATATTTTGGTCGAGAAACAGATGGAGTTTATCAAAACCGTAGCTCAATGAAATTGATTATACCACCCTTTCAAGGTAAGAGTGATCCCGAGGCGTACATTCAATGGGAAAGAAAGGTTGAGCACGTATTCGATTGTGATTACTATTCCGAAAAGAAGAAAGTGAAGCTCGTCGTCGAAGCATTCATTGACTATGCAATTAGTTGGTGGGACCAATTTGTCTTAACTAGGCGGCGTTGTGGTGAACCACCAATTGATGATTGGGAGTCCATGAAGGCAGTTATGAGGAAGAGATTTGTTCCTGCCCATTATTATAGGGAATTGAAGATGCAAAGCTTGAGGCAAGTTACTAAGTCAGAAGAACGGAGTTCATCGATTTGGTTATCACATAGGAGATCTTCAACGAGGCAAACGAGGGAACCATTACAAAAACTCAAAGCAGAGGCAATTCTACGAGAAAAAGGAGACTACGAGGAATTGAAGAGAAAGGGTGATTCTTTATCACCACTTGAAAAGGAAGATACTCGTCATGCTTTTGAGAATCAGAACATTGTAGGGGATTCAGCAAGTGAAAAACCGCTGCTTGAGGAAAAGTTAAGTGAGAATGTTGAGGTCGAGTCCAAGGGGGAAGAAAATTGCAAGCCCGCGCCACCACTTGAAGAAAAAGAAGGTTCGGATTCGAGGACGAATCCTTTTGAAGAGGTGGAGAATGATATGATCCAGCCATGCATCGAAGTTAATGCCGAGCTAAGCAAAGTGCAAACTCTTAGTGTGAATGTTGATGAGATGGCGGTGCCTAGAGAGATGCTTCAATCATTCTCTATACAGAGGTTGAACGCATTGGAACTTCAAGCTACAAAATACTCGCGTTCATATCCACTTCAATGGATGCTAGATAGTGTGTTTGGCGATGTGGTGCAGAGATGTGTAAGTTCGGTACCAAACAGAGAGATCGATCTTGTTTATACTCCTTGTGATATTTGTTCGGATTCGAGGACGAATCCTTTTAAAGAGGGGGAGAATGATACGATCCGCACAAGCTCCAAGACAAAGAATTGGAAGAAGAGAAAGCGAGTGAGATTAATGGAGCTGTTCGTGTTGAAGTTGAAGTGTAAAGGCTTGAATCAGGCCTTTGAAGAGTCTATGGTTTGGAATTGGAAGAAAAGAAAGAGAAGAATTCGTTGGACAAGTCGAATTCCATGCATCCGAGATTCTCGCCTATTCTGGCAGAGTTCACCATTCGAGTTATAACTCTCGCATCTGAAGTCCATTTAAGCTGATTCAAAATGATTCGGAAAGCTAACTGAAAGATCTACAACTTTCATGTTTTGAGCGAAGAGATATTCGAAGTGGAACAGTGTCGAAATTGAGCTTTAATTGCATGCACGTGCACAGCCCAATGTCGCGAGT